CTTTACTGGCCAGAGCTACCCATTGTGCCTTAGCTGTGTTGACATGCATGTGCTGTTTCCTCTTGAATGCTCTCCTCCCACCCCACCCAACCTTTTCCATGTCTCACTTCTTTAGATCTTCCCTTAACTGTCATCTCCTCATAGAGGCTTCACTGACCAGCTGGTCCAAAATAGACCCCTGGTGGCTGACACCATTGGTTGGGCTGAAGGGGAAAATACTCTATGTAGCAATGGACTGGACTCCTTCCTAAGGCTGATGCAACAGTACTGCTCTTCCCCTAATCTTTGCCTTAAGACAATTCAATTATCCCCAAATTCCCTCATCATTATTCTTTTTCATCTTCCCCATCTCTCAACCTACAACTAGCATAGGTCCACACAATGTCCTCATGTCACATCAGCTTTCCCACTGTCATTGCTTCCCAGGACACAGTGTGAGGAAAGTTTAATGAATATAAGGCATAGCCTGAAACCTAGAAGAACTGTGTTCCATCCAGTCCAGCTCTTAACTAGATGAGTGACCACAAATAAGCCAGTTAGCCTCTGAACCTCAACATCCTTAACTGTAAAATGGGGACAATGGATTGTAATGATGATCAAGCAGGATACTCTAGATACACATACTTGAAAACGATAAAACACTATACAAAAATTAGTTTTTCAGCATTCCTGCTAGTGATATTAGAATAGAAGCAATCAATGCTAAGGCCATTCTTGTGGGATTCCAAACAGCCTGTATTTTCTGGCCCAACTAATTCCACTCCCTTCATTATTCATTCATTCTACAAATACTTGTTGAGTGTCCACTGTGTGTCAAGCAGTATTCTATGTTCTGAGAATAGAATTAAACTTTTAGCTATTATGGTTTGCATTCTAGTAGTGAGAGGGAAAAATGTGGTTGGTTAGGACAAACCCATATCACCTGAAGAATACTGCCTTTGATATCTCTGATTATTTGATTGTGCCAAATGGGGACAAAGTAAGGGACAGAGAAAAGAGGGGAGAAATACAGGAAAAAGAAGTTGAAAGAATCTAATCCTATTTGAATCCAGAAATGGACCAGGTTTCATAAAAATGTAGTGTCCATGCACCACTTAGTATCCCCGCTAAGAATGCCAAGCCTGAATCTAATCATGAGGAACCATCAGACAAATTCCAAATGAACAACATCCTTCTTCTTCTTCTTTTTAATGTAATAAAAGACAGGAAGACTGAGGAAGTTTCTTGCATTAAAGAGACTAAAGAGACATGAGAAATGAATGCAGTACCTAATTTTAGATTGTATCCTGTGTGTGTGGGAGGGTTACTATAATGTTCATTATGGGTCAATGGACAAAAATAGAATGCAGAAAGGAGAGGGAGGGGGGGGGAGAGAGATAGAGACAGACAAAGACAGAGAGAGAGAGAGAGAGAGAGAGAGAGAGAGAGAGAGAGAGAGGATGAGGAGTGTGGGAAGTAGAGAGGGGAGGAGCAAATGATAAAGCAAATGGAGATTTTTAGCAATTGATGATCTTGAGTAAAGTATACATGAGTTCTTTGTACTATTCTTGCAACTTTTCCAAATAAGTTTTAAAAATATTCTGTCCTTGAGATCTGGACTCTAAGCCAAGTCCCTTTGCTAAATTCATGGTTGACCTTGAATAAATTTCTTCCTCTCTCTGGGCCTCCTTTTCTAGTCCAGATGCTTCCTGAGTGCCTCCCCCTACCCCCTCTTAAATATGTTTTTATTGATTTCAGAGAGAGAGGAAGGGGAAGCAGGAGAGAGATAGAGAGACAGAGAGAAACATCTATCAGTTGCCTCCTGAACGTGCCCTAACTAGGGAGGGAGCCTGCAGCCTGGGTATGTGTCCTGACTAGGAATCCAACTGGGGACCTTTTCGTGCACTAGATGCTCAACCAACTGAGCCACATCCCTCAGGGACTAAGGTTCTTTATGGTTCTGGTAATCCATGTTCCAGGACTCTCAGGGCTGTGGAAAGATCACCTCTTGTTTTTCTTCAAGGTCTCTCACCCCAACAGTTATTTCACCACATGTTTCTCCAAGGTGCCCACCCACGCTTCCATCCGCTGTATATTTCCCCAGCCCATCCCTGCCACTAGCTGCAGACCTACCGTAGCTACTTTTTACAAGGCGCGTCTACCAGGAGGTTCTAATCTAGCATCAATAGGCACGTGCATTTATCCCCCAGGAAACTACAGCCCCCAAAAGGCTTTGCGGCAGCCTCTGGGCGTTTAACGCGAAAGAGAAAAGGCTTTTCCAGCGTGGGTCAGCCGTTGCATGGCTTCTTGGGAATTGTAGTTCACCTGCTAAGAGCCCAGAAACCAGGACGAGGCGGAAAGCCACCCTTCCCAGAATGCACAGCGCCATTCTCGGCCAATCGGAGGCGCGGATCTTGGAAGGAGGGCGGGGAAGAGGAGGAGCTGCCCGGCGCGTGCGCAGTATGTGTGGCTGGGGAAGCCTTGTGGAGGTCAGAGTAGAAGCAGGTGAGAATGGAGGGGTACGGCTGCGGTCCGCTTCCGGGCAGCGCGGCAGCCCCTCTCTGCACTCCCGTGTGCACTTCGGGAGAGGGGCGTGTGTGCGTGGGCCCGCCCCGCGGGTCGGGGGTGCGGGGGGAGCCCAGGACGAGCCAGGAGTCGCGTGGAGTAAGGGAGGTGTGTATGGGGGCAGGGTGAGGAAAAATCCAGAAGCGGTACGAAGTGGAAAGGCTGAGCGGTCAGGGCTGGGCGTCCTGGCGTGGGGGACGGCATAGTCACAAGCCCGAGGAGCGACCAGGGGAGACTCAGGGGCTTTGGCCTGGAGGGACAGGGAGGGTTTGGGACCGAAGTGGACGGCGACCACGGGGCGGAGCGTTGAGAAGTTAGTGCTGGGAGTGGCTTCTTTTAGGTCCGGCGTGCTCCCGCCACCGGCCCAGCCCCACCTGCCCACTTACTCCTTGTTATGTCAAACAGGTCATTCTTTTCTTTCTTTTTTTAAAAATATATTTTATTGTTTTTTTACAGAGAGGAAGAGAGGGACAGAGAGAAACATCGATGAGAGAGAAGCATTGATCAGCTGCCTCCTACACACCCTGCAACCAAGGTACCTGCCCTTGACCGGAATCGAACCTGGGACCCTTCAGTCCCCAAGCCGACGCTCTATCCACTGAGCCAAACCAGCTAGGGCTATTATAGATCATTCTTAATACCTGCTATTGAAAAGCCATATGGTGGGGAGTTGAGCTGTGCCTTCTAGAATTCGACCTGTAGGGCCTAATCCTGGTTCTGCCACTTGATGCTGTGTGATCCTGGGCTCCTCATGTAACCTCACGGCGTGCCTCAGTTTCCTCACCTGTAATAATCTACTTCGTAGGGGTTGGTGTGAGGGTTAAATAAATTGCCACTAGAAGACCTTCCGATATAAAGGTTAGCGATCGCTATTTTGTGCTGTGGGACTCACTATGTGGCACCGGAAAGAGGACCTGACCCCTGGCCAGTCTGCCTAGGACCACCCCATACTGTGTGGGTTCTTGACTTTGTGCAGAAAAAATTTCCCTGCATGAGTCCAGGTGACTATGAGGGAACGTTTATTAAGCTGGGGACAGCAGAATGGGAAAGGGCTTAGCTTAGAAGAAGCAACAGGAGAGGCTAGACAGGGCTGCCCTGGCTCTCTGGGAAGTCAGGCAGGGAAAGGGGGTCTGGGATCAGGTTCAGGGGTTAGCCTGGGAAGAGGGGACACTGCCCATTGCTCCCCTGGTTGCAAGCCTTGTGGGGTCCTCTAGGGCAGTGTTTCCCAAAGTGTGGTACGCGTACCCCCAGGGGCACGGGAAGAGTTTGGTGGGGGTACACGTTGCACCGGAGTTTGGTGGGGACATGCACTGCACCGTGCTTAGCTGCGCCTAATTCTACGTTCTCATGAGTACCAGGGGTACTCAGCGTTACGAAAATTATAGAAGGGGCACACATATGTCGAAAGTTTGGGAAACACTGCTCTAGGGTTTAGAAGATGCATGCCTGTCGGGGGAAGAAGAGCAGAGAGGGAATGGCGAGGGCTGCTCCCCAGAAGGAAGCGTGCGCTGGGCCCTTGGTCTTAAGGCTTTTATTTCTCTTGCAGGCAAGTATCTTAGGGGAAGTTATCAGGGGAGGGTTTTCACAGAACATGCATCCGTTTTCTAGGTGTGCTCCTTCAGGATGATGGTGATCACTGATTAGTCAGTGTCAGGGCAGGGGGTCCTTAGTCATTGCAGCTGGTCCTCGTATCACCCACCTGGTTTTGCTGCTTTTCAGGATCTGGAGCTGAAATACAACTGAGGCCTAGATATTATTTCTAGGGAGGTGGCCTTCTCTATCTTGCAAATTGCTGTCTATTTGTTTAGCTGTCTTCCTCAGTTTCCCTATTTCTCTTGCCCTCACTTACAGGCCTGTCTCACTGAGTTATTTTCCTAAACCAAAGTTGCACAGAACCAGCCACGCAGCCTCTCTGGGGGTCTGTTTGTCCGGAAGAGGGGAGGGTGGTTTAGCGTGGTACCAAGTTCCCTGTGGGCATCGAGCACCTGCCTCAGTCCCATGTGTTAACCCAGTGCTCCAGTCCCCTCTTCTTCAAGTGGTGGAAGAACAAAAAAGCAGCTGAAACCAGTTTGACTCAGTGGATAGAGCGTCGGCCTGCGGACTGAAGGGTCCCAGGTTCAGTTCCAGTCAAGGGCATGTACCTTGGTTGCAGGCACATCCCCAGTGGGGGGTGTGCAGAAGGCAGCTGACCAATGATTCTCTTTCATCGATGTTTCTAACTCTCTATCCTTCTCCCTTCCTCTGTAAAAAAAAAAATCAATAAAATATATTTTTTTAAGAAGAAGAAGAAGAAAGCAGAGGAGTTGATGCGTCCGTTCTCCAGGAATGGGGGGTCGGTCGCCAGCTTGAGAAGGGAATGTTGGGTGGCAGAGAGCGCGCTCTCTGAGGGTTTGGGGAGCGAGTCGTTTCACTTGTGTTTACCCTCTCAGGTGTGAGCGGGCACAGCAGAAGGAGACATGGCTGCCAAGCTGTTTGAATCCATCGGCAAGTTTGGCCTGGCCTTGGCCGTGGCGGGAGGTGTGGTGAACTCGGCCTTGTACAATGGTGAGGCTCCTTTGCTGGAGGGTCTCTGTTGGTCGGCACCGCCCACGGGACACCCCGGTGGCTGCGCTGCCGAACGCAAATGTGTGGGTGATCGAGACGGCTCACCCGCTGCCGTCCCAGCCCCGTCCTTTAGCCAGAGGGCCTCTCGGAGCCTTTCTTCCCAGGGAGCCTCCCCGTCTGGCCGCTGGTTGGATGTTTCCAGCTGCTAGTTCCTGTGAGGGGTGCTGCACCCCCAGACGCCGCAGCGGATGGCCAGGATGTCGCTGTCTCGCTGGAACGGAGAGCTCACGTGTTCTCCCTCGCCCGCGGGAAGACCAGCAGGGGCTGTCGGCCGCGGTGGCCTTGTGCTGAGCAGGAGCTGCTGCAGCTGGGTCCCTGCGGAGATCGTGCCTTTGAGAGGCGCTGCCAGCTGTGGGCAGGGCGGCAGGGGCTGAGCGGGCTGTTCTCCCGCTTCGCTGGCGGCCCTGAGGCACCGCACAGCTTCCTCGCTGCTCCAGCAATGGGATTGAACTAGGTCGGTGGTCGGCAAACTCGTTCGTCCACAGGACGACGATGGAGATTTCTTTCGAGGGCCAAGTTTTTTAAACTTAAACTTCTTCTAACGCCACTTCTTCAGCGTAGACTCGCCCAGGCGGTGGTGTGAAGTGGAAGAGCCACACTCAAGGGGCCAAAGAGCCGCATGTGGCTCATGAGCCGCAGTTTGCCGACCACAGGACTAGGTCACCTCCAAGCCCCCCCCCCAACTGATTTCTCTAACCTTCCCCGTTGGCAAGCAGCAGGAGATGGACTCGCCTCGTGAGTGACAGAGGTGGTGTCCGACAAAGGAGGGTTAATTTCAGAGCGGGGACATTCGGACCAACGATGGTGACCATAAAGCAGCGGGTCAGGAAAGCCTGCTTGGCTTCCATGGCACAGCTTTCCCCTCTGATCTTTTCGGTTTGTTGTTGTTCGGTCAGTGTCCGTGTTTTATGAATGCTAACCTGAGGGTATTTTCTCCATTGATCTTTAGTGAGAGTGGAGGGGGAGAGAGAGAAAGAGAGAGAGTTTGATTGGTTGCCTCCTGCCCGTGCCCCTGGGGCACTGGGGGTTGATCACGCAAGTAGGGTAGGTGCCCTTGACCAGAATTGAACCCACAACTGTTCAGTTCGTGGGCCGATGCTCTAATCACTGAGCACCAGCTAGGGCCATTCTGATCTTTTTGGCCATTCATCCCTGAATAATTACACAGTGATCATCATCACGAGTTTCTCAACAAGACAGCTCTCCAGCCCCTCAAAACCTTAGGGGAAAAGAAGCTTTTGGAAAGAAAGAGGGACCTTCTGGATGTTAGGGTTCTTGTAGAGGGGGTGCTGCCCCTGGGAACACGAGGTAAACTTGGGACCAGGTTGAACTGTGATGACCGTGAAGACTGGGGAGTTTTAGGAAGAAGCTGGGGAGGTGGTTCCTGGAAATGGGTGGATGGGAGCTCGGGGATGGGGTGGTTCATCAGGAAACCCGCAGCCAGCTGTTTCAAGGAGAGAGGATGCCGGGGCCCGTTAGCAAGGTGCTTGGGGAGACACACGGGGCAGTACGTGATCGCTTAGATCTGTAGCTATTAGAAGCCTCTGGGGACCAGAAGTGCCAGCAGGTGGAGCAGGAGAGGGCAGATTAGCACATGAACAGAAGGCACCAAGACCCTTCCCAGGCCGTGACTCTCGGTGAACGGGTGAGAGGAATTCCCTGACCCATCGTTCTCCTCCTCCCTAGTGGACGCTGGGCACAGAGCGGTCATCTTCGACCGGTTCCGCGGCGTGCAGGACATCGTGGTGGGGGAGGGGACGCACTTCCTCATCCCCTGGGTGCAGAAACCCATCATCTTCGACTGCCGCTCCCGGCCCCGCAACGTGCCCGTCATCACGGGGAGCAAAGGTGAGCCGCCTGCGGGTCCGGGGAGGGGGGAAGGGGTGCTGTGGGAGCCAGAGAGGGCGAATTCACATAGGCATTCCTAGCGTCTTTTCCCTGGAGAGTGCACCTGATTCACAGCAAGAAACACATATACTTAGGGCACACACATAGGCAACTGCACGCATTTAAAGAAACACGCAAAGATCGGTTTCAAGAGGGACATGGTGATCCAATTTGAGAGAAATTGGAAGGTGCCCTCGCTCCCTCCTTGATCCTTCCCCTTTGGTTCCTGTTCCCCAGCATCACCCTACAATCCCGTCTAGCGGCTCTGTTTGCCCTCGCAGCTGGCTCACCCTTTGCCTGACGTGCCGAGGCCTCTGTGTGCGGCAGTGCTGGCCTCCAGCGTTCTCTCTCAGGCGGAGGCCCACTTCCCCGGTGTCCGACACGCCACGGGCTATGCAGTCGGAGCCTAAAACGAATTGCTATCCCTGTTCTCCCCCATCCCATTCGCAGAGGTGCTCGGGCCGCGAGTGGAATAGCAGGTGCCAGCGCAGCAGCCAGGCTTCCACACGGCGGGAGGAGAGAGGGTCACACCCGATGCCTTCCTCAGCTGCTGTGTGCTCGCTGTGCCCGTGCCCGGCTTTGTGCTGGGCAGGGGCTGGGCTGGATGACTAAGGCAGAGGCCTCCGTTCTGTGGCTAGAGAGAGATGTGGACAGGCAGGTGCAGTGTAGTGAGTCCCGGAGCCAAGGCTATGCGGTGCGCCGGGAGCAGAGAGGCCACCCGTGGGTGGCCAGGCTCCTGCGAGGAGCTTCCATTCGAGCAGGGATTTAGAGAGAGCGGCGTGTTGGGCAGAGGATGGAGGGTAAGTCGGTAGGGCCTCATCTGTCCCTGGCTCCTGGTCCGGGAGAGGAAGGAGCCTCCGGTGAGGGCCTGGCTTGCCTCTACCACAGAGGAAACCAGAGGTCAGCGGAGTTTAGCGAGAAGCATACATCGAACTTGAACTTAAAAGCCTAGGTCTCAGCTTCCCACCTCTTGGGGCTTTCTCCCTCGGCTGCTTGCTGTTGTTTAAGGATACGTCGTGTACTTAGCTTCCAAACATTTGGTAGGGACTTCCAGAGACCAGGGGCGCGTGGTCCATATTCTTGTTGACTGCAAGCCAGCTGCGACCGCGCGTCAGCTCTGCGCAGGCCCTGCGTGTCGGTCAGCTGTGTTCCCCGCCCTGGGCCTCTGCCTGGGTAAGGAGAGGTGGGCTGCCGATGATTCTGTCTCTTACATCTGTTGCGTTTGACTGCGCGTTCGTGTGTCTTCTCTGTCCCGTTTCCTTCAACGTGCCTGGAAGTCAGATGAAACCACCCCTGTTCCTAGAGAACTAAGTTGAGGTTGGCTGAAGCTTAGCGAAGTCGGATAATTAGTAACCAGCGGAGTGGGACTGCGGCCCAGGCCTTTGGACTGTTGGTTCGGTCCAAAGTGGACTATTTCTGCTGAGCCCCCGGTAACCCCCCCAAAGCACGCTCCTTTGGGTCACGGGCACCCGGCCTTGGACAGGCCTCGCCCTAGAATTCTCAGCTTGGCCCTGTTTTCTGAAGCACTTCGTGTTTCCCACAGCCCATAGCACCTGCTGCTTATATCTGGGGCCTTCAGGACGCACGGAAAAGCCCTTGTCACCAGACGCCTTTAAGAGTGCTCTGCTGGGTTCTCTACCAAGAAACACCCAGACCCCTTTGCTCCATGCCCCTGGGATTAGCAACTCTGCTTATTAATTGTAGGAAGTTGGGGGTAGGAGGTCCCCTAGGAGGCCGCTGTGAGTTTTATGTCTAACTCAGCATTTTCCCCCTCCCTGCCCGAAGATTTACAGAACGTCAACATCACCCTGCGTATCCTCTTCCGCCCGGTCGCCAGCCAGCTGCCCCGCATCTTCACCAGCATCGGGGAGGACTACGATGAGCGCGTGCTGCCGTCCATCACCACCGAGATCCTCAAGTCCGTGGTGGTGAGTGGGCGGCCTGGGCCCCGCGCTGGGCGTGCGGCCCCCAGAGACCCCTGAGGGGCAGGAGGGGCGTGGCAGCGGGCGGGGTGGGGTGTGGCTGGTCGTTTTCTGGTTCCTTTTCCGCTCCCCGTTATCCTGACCGGCTGCTGTGCCCTCCCCCGGAACCAGGCTCGCTTTGACGCCGGAGAACTCATCACCCAGAGAGAGCTGGTCTCCAGGCAGGTGAGCGACGACCTCACGGAGCGAGCCGCCACCTTCGGGCTCATCCTGGACGACGTGTCCCTGGTAAGATCCTGGCGGAGCCTGCAGGGAGGGCCCGGGGCGTGCCAGGGGGCCCGGCTCCGTTTCTGGGGAGACGCAGTTAGGTCCGGCCTTCCACATTCCTAGGCGTGAGGCTTGAAAGCGTGGGAACTTCTTGCCCTCACTCTGGCCACACACTTTTCTTTTGACTTTGTGGCGCTGCCCACGGGGTAACCTAACCACGAGCGTTTCACCATCCCAAACCGACGGGCTGTGTGAGCTCCCCAGGAAGCTGCCTTGTTGACCGTGGGCACGAAGGAAGCTGCCTGGTGAGACCGGAGAGCACTCAGATAGGCTTTCTCCCCAGCCCCGCGTGTGGGAACTTCCCGGCACCAGGGCCTGAGGCGCAGTGACGCGATCGCGGGGAACCCAGTGAAAGGCGATAGGGTGTCAGTGAAGGGTCCTGCTCCCCACAGCCGGTGTGGTGTGAGGGCTGGCTCCGAGGCCTGAGGCTGCGTGTCTGTGTATTTATATACGTTCAACGCCGTAAGTCAGACGGAAAGCAATGCAGGCAGAAAGCAATACAGGCGGGATAGCATTTCAGATGGAGGAGGCGAGGGGGGGTCATGTTTCTAGATTCGTGGGAAAAACCACTTGGAGTGATTTGTTCAAGTAGTGAGGTAGTGTTTCCTGTTTGGTTCTCCTGTGCTTCGCTAGGCAAAAGCACCACTTCCCCCTCAGCATCTGTGCAGCTGTTCAAACATCACACTCCCAACACCCGGGCTCGCTGCAGGGCCCGGCTTTGCCCAGCCCTACCTGGCATCCATTGCCCGACGTGGAGGGACCCGTGGGCTCCCTCTACTGGCAAGATTCCAGGCTGCAGCCATTTGGCTCCTCTGACTGCTAATTCCTCCCACTTAACTGTTAACCTGGACACCTCGGCTGTGAGAAAACGCTCAGTAAAAACCCAAGGAGAAGCTTGGCCTTTTGTGAAACTTTAACCACATGCTCCATTCTGGGGAAATGTGGGCTGACCACAAGAAACCATATCTAAGAGGTGTGAGAGGAAAATTAGATTTCATGGGGAATTTTGCTGCCCTCAGCTGGCCCTTTCAGAAAGAAAATTTATTCCTTAATTGCACATTTCAATTCTCATCTCTCAGGATTGCATTTTCCTCCCCAAACATTGACCAAGAGTCTAGAAATGGAGCAGGCAGAGTAGAGCAGCTGCAGCGTAAGAGTCAGGAGTGCTAACAGTTGTGGAAGGCAGTGAGTCTAGGGTGGACTCTCCAGGAGGAAAGTTGAGTTACTTATGCTTAAGAAAAGCAGAAGTTGGGAGAGTGGAGGAGGAAATAAAACCAGTAGAATTTGATAGCAAAACCAATGCTACTAATCATTTCTAGACTCATCAGTAGGCATTCTGAGACCTGTTCCCTCTGTTTGCACGATCAGTAGAGACAGTCCCTTCAGCCAAGTCTGTTATTTATGTTCTTAGGAAATATCTGGGTAATCCGAATTTTAAGCCTTCTTCCTAAGCAATGGCTTTAACTGCCTTCCCTCTTTAAGCCCTTTCCCAGAAGCACTCACACAGGGAACACCCTGATGTGCGATCCATGGTCTCCTGGCCTCTTCCTGTTCGGTGGCGGAGGGGCCTGAGAGGAAGGAGGCTGGTTAGCCCATAAGGCGGAGCAGCCGGCTCTCGAGTCCCTGAGAACCCTGCATCCTCCCGCTCGGGGGCTCCACCTGGCCTCCCGGGGCCCCGAAGGGTCTTCGCAGAGCACTGGTCATGGGGGGAATGGGTCTCCTCCAGGGAGCTGGTCAGTGGAGTGGATGCCTTCCGTGCCCGGGGCCGTTTTCCACGTGAGAGGGTCGCCCTGAGGGTGGCGGCGTGGTGGAGCAGTGGGCAGCCGAGGGCTCGGGTGTCACGCAGTTTGGACGCGGCTGTGGAGGTGGAAGGGGGATCTGGCCTCGCGAAGCCTCCAGCTGCTAGAGCCATTCCCTCCGGCGGCCGCGGGGACCTCCAGCCACGCTGTCTGAGCAATTACCCCGCCTCATCTGCGCTCCCTCTCTCCCTCCAGACGCATCTGACCTTCGGGAAGGAGTTCACAGAAGCAGTAGAAGCCAAGCAGGTGGCCCAGCAGGAAGCGGAAAGGGCCAGGTTCGTGGTGGAAAAGGTGAGCGTTCGGCCAGATGGCAGGAGCCCCTCTCCCCTCCCCTCCTCCTGCGCTCGGCCCCGTGTGCTGGGTGGCCTGGAAATTGATCGCCTGTCATCTCTCCTTCCGGGATCGCTGGAAGGGCTTGAAGGGACCGTGCTCCCGCAGTCGGCTCCAGGGTCTTTGGGGGCTGGTCAGGGATAAGTCAAGTTACGCTCCCCAGTCACCCAAGGGCCGTTTTTTTTTCCCTCCACTTCCCTAAGATCAAACACACTTTGGACAAATGAAAATGTTTTTCTCCTGGAATATTTTCAGCTTCGCTGAGAGGTCATTTTTAACCGCAGTTGCTCAGTGAAAGCTGACAGGGAAAAGGATCAAATGTTGCACCAGATGCTCCATCGACACCGGGTTTGTTTAAACGCTAAGTCCATCCAGATGTGTCAGAGTGTGTGGGACACAGCGAATTTGCATCCCAGCCCAGCCTTCCTGGTCCCTGCAAAGGTGTATTTCATGCTTCCCACCTCTCGCTCTCTGGCGTTGGCGTTCTAAACCAGCCGTCTCCGCGCGGCGTACCTCAGGGTCGAAAACACACCTTGCCTGGCTGTTTAGTCGGGGCCCTGACCTCTCTTCCCTTAGATTGTCAAATAAGAAAATGGCGACAGCCAACACAATAGCCATCTGGTGTGAGTGGATCAAAATTATACCTTTTTTTTTTTTTTTTTTTTTTTTTTTTTTTGTCAGATCACCAAAAAATACATTTCTAGGTGTGCCATAGAATTTGAGTGGTTAGTTTATATGTGTCATGAGATGAAAAAGGTTGAAAATCATTGTTTTAATCCAACACCCCTTAGGCCTTGAAATGAGGGAGAAGCGGGACATATGAGTGGCAAACATTTAATTTCAGAGAATGTAAACTATGAGCAGGAACTTTTTTTTTTTTTTACTTATATAAACGCCTGCCTCCGGAGTCTGAGACATGTGCCTGGAGATCCTAGGTGCTCCGTAAACATTTGTCGAGTGAATAGTCACAGCCCAGAAGTTTCCAAGTTGTGTTCATTCTATTGGTCATGCATTGCAGACAGATCCTATTGACAGGAGTATGGCAGGCCCAGGGGACCTCATCCTGGTGCCTGGGTGCCTGGCAGCTCTAAGGAGCGCCACACACGCCTGCTTCTCCGGCTCAGCGGCGCTGGTTTTGGTGAAAGTCACTGTGACCTGGGACTGGAGGGAAAGAGGAGCCTGAGCATTGATTCTACCTGTCTCTCCCGTTTCCTGGGCCTGGGATGCTCCAGCTCAGAGCAGCATGGCCGGACTGGATTGCTATTAATGATGAGAACTTTGGAAAAAGACGGCTGTTCATGCAGCTGACAGTGTATCCCTAAAGTGATGAGGAGTAGTGGTCCAGGGCAGGAGAGGATGGGTGGTTCACAGTGCTTGTTGACCCCACCCAGAGGAGAAGGAGGAGGAGGCAAATACCCAGAGTTCCTTGGGGAATCGGTGAGGGTGCCCAACCTGGGCCTTCATGTGACCTTGGTCTCTCCCCACCTCCTGCCTCAGGCGGAGCAGCAGAAGAAGGCAGCCATCATCTCTGCGGAGGGCGATTCCAAAGCCGCCGAGCTGATCGCAAACTCGCTCGCTACGGCGGGCGACGGGCTGATCGAGCTGCGCAAGCTGGAAGCCGCCGAGGACATCGCCTACCAGCTGTCCCGCTCCCGGAACATCACCTACCTGCCGGCCGGGCAGTCGGTGCTCCTGCAGCTTCCCCAGTGAGGCCTGCCCTGCCGCCGGCCCGGGGCCCAGCCAGCCCCGAGGATTCTAACATCGCTCCTTCCGCCCCCGCCCCAGAATCACTGTGAGATTTCATGATTGGCTTAACGTGGAGGAAATAAAAGTAAAATCACTTCAGATCTCTAATTACTCTTATCAGACGAAACTCTTCTGTTCATTCCCACCCCCTTTCTTCACCCCCCTCCCTCCCCACCACTGCCAAGTGCCTGTGCGGACCAGCAGACTCCGGCTCGGGGCTGCGGGAGCCCCAGCCGGCAGTGGCGGTGGCAGAATAAAGGGAGGGTCGTGCGCGATGGGCTGGGGAGCTCAGTGGTCAGCTGAGGGAACCAGTAGCCTGCAGCCCCACGTCTACCAGGGTGCGAAGACGCCACTCGCTGAGCCGAGCACACAGGCCTCCACTTTCCGGCCATTCCTGCGCAGCCCCAGCTGAGGGGCCGGGCGGGTCAGGAAGTGGTCTGTCTCTCCCCATAAGGCTGATTCTCTCTCACGCGAGGCCAGCAGAAGCAGGTGTGCGCTCGGCGATGTGAAGATCCGCCTGTGCAGGAGGGTGGGCTGGATGTGTGCACCCCACCCCCCAGAGCTGCTGCAGCTGGGGCGGACTCCGCTCATGGGAGCGGAGGCCTGGCCTGAGCCGAGTCCCGGGAAGACTTCCTCTCCACTCTCAAATGCCGACAGAATTCCAACGTGAAGGATTGCATCCTGCCGGGCGGGCAGGGCTGGGCGTGCCTGCCAGGGCCGTGGGTTCTGTGCTCCTGGCTCTACTCCCCTCCTCCAGGGCGCGGTGACTGCGCTTTGAAGGCACGGCCTGGGCCTGGGGAGAAAGCCAGTGTGTAAACTGCTGTCAATAAATGACATTCAGACCTCGCAGCTCCGTCTCCCGGGATTGTTTTTCTGTTTGTGGGAGCCATGCCGTCTGAACAGAGTGTTCCCGCAGTTTCTGTGTGCACATGTTGGGAGGGCCAGCTGGGACAGTCTCCAGCGAGGCAGAAAATGCTGGAGTCTCAGAACACTCCCCTGCATTCTACATCCATCCCCAACCGGAAGTGATCCTCTGGTGTTAGGTGAGGTGTGTCTGAGAGGGGCTCTGAGGTGCCAGTGAGGACAGGCTCTGAGGCGTCGGTGCCACCGTTACCCAGGAGTTGGGGGTCTGCCCGACAGCTGTCAGCATCAGTGCCCTGACGGGGTGTAAGACGCATGAGTGTGACCCCGCCGTGCTCTGGTTTGGTTTTTATGTGCGTGAGGTGGCTTTGGGCGCTCTGCTGTGAGTTGCGGTGGCTTGTTGTGCTTTGCTTTGATGTAGAAATGACATGTGAGAGGCCACAGTTTTGCATTTGGGTGGTGGGGAGGGAAGGCAGAGCTCCGACTGAGAGACGAGCCCTGCCAGTCCCTTCAGGAACACAGCGGAAGGGAGTGCGCGTGCACTGGCTGCTTTCACCTCTGCTCGCAGGCTCACCCCGGCCCTGCACCTGGCCACGGCGAGGGCCTCTGACCTCCGTCTGCGTTTCCTCTCCCAGGGGAGAGGCCCGCTGTCCGCTGAGCAAGGCGGGGAGGAGGCACAGAGGGAGTTTTCGGGAACAAGTTCTCCCAGCCTTGCACCCCGCTCCCCTCCCCGGGCCTCTCAGCCGGGACTGAACCCCTTCCCAGCCACCCCCCACCCCCCCAGGACAAGTGTGCTCTGGGCTGCTGGCCCTCGGCTGAACCCCAGACCTCCCACCCAAGCGGCATTCTGCCGAGACTCCCACCAGCCTCCCCTGTAGCCCATCGCCCTGCCGCCTCCCCGGCTTCGTTTATCTCAGGATCTTCCTTCTTTTGCGTTTTTGCTGTAAGAACAGCGAGGCCTAAAAAATGATGAGGTGCCTGGACTCCACGCAGTCAAGACGAGCAGAGAGAGCGTAATTCCTAAAGCGGATCCAGGCCGACTTCCATTCTGCAGCCGTCCCTCCTTCTTTCCTGCCGTGTGTGGCTTTGGACACTCTTGGTGGGAGGGAGGGAGGGAGGGAGGGGGTGCAGGAGGCTCCTCTGCTCCCTGGGCCCGTGGTCAGAGCAGTTGTGTCTCTTGCATTTGGGGCGGTTAGGTTTCAGGCTGCAGGCGTCCGCGGGGGAGCCCTCCCCGCTCCTGGGTTCCTCCTGCCTCTGCCGGCCTCTCGGCAGCCAGGCCGCTCCTGCTGGTTTTGCTGTTAGTCTCCTTGCCAGGGGTGGTGCCAGCGGCAGCCCGGGAGGGCTCATTCCTCTTTGACTTCCGACAAGCAGTGATTCTTTTCACAAATGTTGAGGGCGGTTAACTGGCTGCTCAGCCCCAGAGTCCCCTGACGCCTCTGGCTTCTCCAGAAGCGGCCACAAGGAGCCTCTCTCAGCGTGGGGTGCTCTGGGCCGGAGATCAGAGTCCGGGTCCGGCCCGGCCAGGGGAGGGATGGGCAGGGAGGGTCTTCCTCTCCCTTCGGTCAGGCTGAATGGTTCCCTTGTTCAGGCGCCAGGGGGATGCCTCCTCAGCAGCAGTGGGCCCTGGACGGGAGGGAAGAGAAAACCCTAAAGGGCCGCCCTTTTTCCTCTCGTTTTACACACATTCTCCCCGTGTGGACCAATGATGGTGGGAGTGGGGGGTTGCATCGTGGTCACCGCCAAGTGGCTTGATCCGACGCTCTATCCACTGAGCCAACGCATCCCCACCACCTCCGGCCCCTCACCTGATGCTGACAGGGGGAGACAAGGAGATAGGAGTCCAATCCCAACACAGCAAATGCATTTCTAATAGGACATGCCGGCGATCCGCGGGGATATGCAGGTGGGACCTCCCCTGACCTTCGCCCTCCGTCAGTAATTGTGGGTAGAGCAGCCCGCCCCGATGGAAAGGGACCGGGGTGAGAGGTTGCTGGAGGCCCCCCGCTCATCCCTCCCCCACAGGGTCTCAGCGGGCACTCCTTGCCTAATAAAACACCAATGTCTGGTCCTGGCGCTGGAGGCCCTCCATTGCCGGCCGCTGACTGTCCAGCCGAACTTTCCACGTCACCGTCGCCTTCACAGGCCTGTCCAGCGCTTCCCGCAGAGAGGGGAGTGTGGCTGGAAAACAGGAGTGGCTACCGGCATCAGGTGAGGGGCCAGAGGCGGTGGGGATGCCAAAGACCTCCTTGGGCCAAAAGCGATTTGGCTCAGTGGATAGAGCGTCGGCCTGCGGACTGAAGGGTCCCAGGTTTGATTCCGGACAAGGGCACGTACATTGGTTGCGGGCACATCCCCAGGGGTCGATGTTTCTCTCTCATGGATGTTTCTAGCTTTCTATCCCTCTCCCTATCTATAATAAAATTCAAAAAATCAATAAAATATATAATTTTTAAAATAAAATAAAAGACTTCCTTGGTATGGGGCAGACTTATACAATGGAAAATCGCCTCCAAACAATGCCAATAACACCCCCGCTGACAACAAGCACCGAGATGAGTGCCTTGCCCTTGCCTGCACCCCCTTTGCTCCTTGTCACTTCCTCCGGGACAGCCCTCCCCCCAGGTGGCACAGGCTCCGACGCCTCCTCCCCTGTAAGTCCTGGCTCAAATCCTTCCCGTCCACAGAACTCCCTCTGGCGTCCCCTCTCCCCTGCCCGTTGCTGCTCCCTCCCCGGACTCCCGGACACAGTCCCATGGAGCATGAGGCGCTATTTCTTCGGGTTGTCGGTGCGTGTGGGTGCTCTCTCCTGCTCCCCGTTTCCGGAGTGCGGGGCACGTATGCGATTCAGCATTCATTCCCCGTGTCTCTTCTTTCCCCCAACACGCCAAGCACGCCTGGCCCTCGGTGGGGGTCACTGGATGTCTGTCGGGTGAATAGATGGAGGAATAGAGAGTGCAGGACTGAGGTTACAGAAGAGGCTGGAAGTTAAGGCCAACCTCCACCTGCTCAGAATCTGGGCTCTCGGGGCCTAGCAGGCCAACCCTCCACTGAAGTTCCACCCTGACCCGTCTCATCGCTCTCCCTTCCCGTGGGCTCTGCGTGTGGACTGTCCCCTCACTGTCAGCTGCTCACAGCTCGGTCTCTCCTGCTTTTGCCTGGAACACCCCCTCTTGCACCTTCCCCCTGCAACATACATACACACACACACACACACACACACACTTTTATTTTTTTATTATTTTTTTAAGATATATTTTATTGATTTTTTACAGAGAGGAAGAGAGAGGGACAGAGAGTTAGAAACATCGATGAGAATCATCGATCAGCTGCCTCTTGCACACCCCCTACTGGGAATGTGCCCGCAACCAAGGTACATGCCCTTGACCGGAATCGAACCTGGGACCTTTCAGTCTGCAGGCCGACGCTCTATCCACTAAGCAAAACTGGTTTCGGCCACACACACACTTTTAAAATACATATATTTTTATTGATTTGAGAGAAAATAAGAGGTGGGGGGGAGAGAGAGAGAGAGAGAGAGAGAGAGAGAGAGAGAGAATGAATCAATGTGAGAGAGAAACATCAATCGCTTGCCTCTGGCATGCACCCCTCCTTAGGATCAAATCCGCCACCTGTGCCTGTTCCCTGACCAGGAATCGAACCAGCGACCTTTCCGTGCACGGGACAACGCTCCAACCACGGAGCCACCCGGCCAGGGCTCTCTGCCCCCTCTTTTAAAAAAATACAACATGGTGTTCATCCCAGGTGCACCGTGATTAGCCATCTGCCTACCTCACAGAGTGGTCACCCCAATAAGCCGAGTGCCCCCCGGGACCACACATACTTGCTACAATCTCTCTTCCCTTTTCCCATCCCTGACCCAGGCCCAGCGCAGAATCCTTCTTCTCCAGGAACTCACCTCTGGCTGACCTCCCCCTCGCTTCCCGTGCCCATGAGTCTCCCTTTGTGAAAAGGACGCTGGCTCTGGAACCCCGACAACACTGCGTCTGAGAATGAACAAAAAAAGGAGTGACGAGGCCTGGCCCGGACGGGGAGGCTGGGCGCTTTGGCAAGGCCCAGGGCGCGGAGCCGGAGAGAGAGGACGG